TCCAGCACCATTTATTAAAGAGGCTATCTTTCCTCCAGTGAGGGTGTTTGGCTCCTTTGTCGAAGGTGAGATGGCTGAGTATGTCTGGAGTTGTTTCTGCATCTTCTAATCTGTTCCACTGGACCTCAGGTCTGTTTCTTTGTCAGTACCATGCTGTTTTTATCACAGTAGCTTTGTAGTATAGTTTCAAGTTGGGGGTTGTAATACCCCCTGCAATGTCTCTTCAAATGAATTGTTTAAGTTGAAGAACTTTTAAAATTAACTACAACTTGTATATGTTTGTATGAATAAAACGAAATATCTCAGGTAAGTGAAAAATTTTGATTTTAGATACCTTATTAAAAAGACAATATTCCTAAGAATCTATTTAGTCTGACCCAAGTTAAGTACAAAGAAATCTCAGCAGATACACCAGAGAAACCCACCACCAAAACACAAGGGCAAAAAACAAGACAGGAAGAAAGTTACCAAAGATTACAAAGCAACTGTAAATCAGTTCACAAAATGGAAGTAGAAGCTTAACCTGTCAATAATCTTGAATGGAAAGGGATTAAATTCTTCCATTAGAAGTCTTGGGGTGGAAAATGGATTTTGGAAAATGCATTTTAGAAAAATGGATTTTAGAAGACACCAAAGAAGCGAATAACAAGACCCAGCTATGCATTGCATACAAGATACCCCATCCTCTTGAGAACAGACAGACTGAAATCCAGGGGATGGTGAAGACATCTCATGGAGAGAGGAACCATAAGGCAGCAGGAAGAGCTGACGTAGTAAGTCAAAAAGGGGAAATGAGATGAAGAAGATTATTCTGTAGTGATAAGGAAACCCATCCAACAATGGTATGTGACAATTGTGAACACATATTGACCCAAATGGAGATATAGATATATGGATAAGCCATAATAGGATAATGCCTTTAAGTATGATTCTCTTTACTATAATGAATGTCTTTCTTTCAATAAATTTTTAGGGTTTTCTTTAAGTTTCTTCATTGACCCATTGAATATTTAGGAATATGTGGTTCAGTTTCCATGTCTAATTTCTGAAAACTATCAAAAGTTTTTCCTGTTTCTGACTTCTGGCTTTATACCAGTATGGGTGTGGATCTCTTTCAAACTTCTCAGCAGCAGAGAGCAGAGTGGACGTCGTGCACAGAAAGTGTGGAGGACACGTGACCTGCTGGGCAGGGAGCCCTGAGTGACCAGGAGAGCAAAGTCTTCTGCCCCTCCTTGGACAGGGGGAAAGTGTCCACCAGGCTCCGTGACTCACACAGCAGGGCCACATCCTCTCCTGGGGACACCATGGGTCCCGGCTGCACCGAGAGGGAGGCTGTGACAGGCAGCTGTCCTGGAGAGAAGGAGGGGTGAGGGGCTGCCCCACCTCGTTCTGAGCTGAGGCCTCACCAGGCCTTGTCTGAGGCCCCTCGGTCTCTGTCTATCTCTGTTTCCTCTGACGCTGCCCCTCCCGCCCTCCCCTGTCTCTGTTCTTTTCCCTCCCTGACCCCACCCTCACCCTGGCCATCAGCTCCTGGGCTCCCCAGCAGGGTCAGTGCAGAGTCTGGGTCCCTGACTGAGCCCTGGGCTCCTCACCTGTGACCAGGATGTCCAGGGGCTCACTGGGGGCCGACCACTCGGAGGAGAAGCCGTGTCTACTGTATGAGAGGGGGACTCAGGGCCACATGATTATTGTTGGGCAAGAATGGCCGGTCTGTGATGGGACCTCCGCTCCTGTGGGGATTTATGCGGCTCCGACAGCAGAAGTCTTCCGGCTGCAGCCCCGCGACCGCGGACACACTCCTGAGTGAGGGCTGCGTGAGGACCCACAGGGAATCCACGCTCGCCCCTCAGCCTCCTGACAGGCGCATCACTGGGTGCAGACTCCTGTTGGAGATTTCCCAGGGATTCCGAGGAACGCAGCCCTGCTGCCTCCACTCCCACCGGTGCTGCTCCTCTCAGCGCAGTAACGTGTCCATGTTTAAAGATTTTCTGCTGCCTTGAAGATGAAGCCCAGGGACGTCTCAGTGTAGGGGGACCGGGAGAGGGGGCCACACCTGGGTGCCTCTCAGGTCATGCTCCTCTTCCCTGAGGAAGCTCTGACCCACCCACCCCTGCCCTGTGCCCGGCCTGTGTCCAATCCGTCCTGCAGATTTGCCCTCCCCCATACCGGTGCTTCGCCCTCCCACGTTATTGCATCCCGTCTTCCCCTTTTCCCCTCCCTACACCTGGGAAGCTGATGCTGAAGCACCTGTCCTCTGACCGCGTGACCAGGGGAGGAGGCTGCAGCTTCCCCGGTGACTGCCACACCTGGCACCGAGACTGCACATGGTGAGGGCTCCGGGAGCACTGGAGGCTGGCGTGGGCGGTGGCAGGAAGGACAGCATGGCGCGGACAGGCGGTCTGCAGAGACGGGGCTTGTCTGCCCGGCCCGAAAGCTCCTGCAGGAGACAGAGCTGGCTCCACTGAGCAGCACAGTCAGGGCTCAGCGCGTCTCTGCTCGGCGTCACCTGCAGCAGGAACCCGCATCTTCCCCAGCGTCTCCAGGGCGGGAGACGACGGCCAGGGTGAGGAGCACCGAGCTAGGCAGTGGACGGGCTGAGGGAGGGGGAGGCCGTGGGGAGGCCCTGCCAGGAAGGACCGGCCCTCAGCACCCCACCCGGGAGGGGCAGCGCAGGAAGGCTCTGGGTCTATCTGCTCCCAGGTCTTGGCACTTGGTGAGGTGAGGACGGATCAGGGAGAGGGAGGCCAGGCTAAGGCAAGACCTCATCCCGCCTGAAGTCTGCAGAGAGCCTGGTGCCCACACCAAGCTCAGCTGGGGCAGAGAGAAGCAGGCCCCGGGGCAGCAGGTCCCCTTCCTGCGGGGGCGCTGCCGCAACAACCCCAGGACGGGAAGTGGCCGCGCCCTTTGCTTCTCTGTCCTGCGGGACACTGTGGTCCCCTCCACAAAGCCAGGGAGAGTGGGAGAAGAAACCACGGCCCCCAGCCTCTGGGCGCTGCTCTGCCTGGGTGAGACCGGAAGAGGGGAGGGGACGCCCTGCTCTGGGAGGGGCCCCGGGACCCCACCCCACAGCCAGCCCCGCTCCATCGGGGGAGCAGGGGCTCAGGAGGCTCGGGGAGGAGAGGACCTGCTCAGGCTCCAGGGCCAACCTCTCACAGGGAGCTCTCTTCCAGGGCTGAGTCTGGGCCCCAGGCCCCGAGGGCAGGCAGGTGAGTGTGTCCCCAGCTGTGCCGGTCCCTCCTCCTCCTGGGGACAAGGGGCCACCCCTGGGCAGTGGGGAGGGAGAACAGCAGGTGTGGGCTGGTGCTGGGGAGGTCTGGAGGGTCCCGGGGCTGAGAGCTGGGATCTGAGGGGGGAGGAAGGGCCTGGGCCCCAGCTGTGACTCCCTGCCGGGACCCTCCCCACCCCCAGGCTCTGGGCTGAGCCAGGACCTGTGATACCACAGGGAAGCCGGTGACCCTCTGGTGTGAGGGGAGCCTGGAGGCCCAGGAGTACCGTCTGGAAAAACAGGGAAGCCCGGAGCCCTGGGACAGACTGATGTCACCGAAGTCTGGGGACAAGGCCAACTTCTCCGTCCCATCCATGACAGAGCACCATGCAGGGCCATATCACTGTCACTATCACAGCCCTGCTGTCTGGTCAGAGCGCAGTGAGCCCCTGGAGCTGCTGGGGACAGGTGAGAGGGCTCTCGGGGTCCCGGCCCCAGGCTCTGCCCTCAGGAAGGGGTCTGCTCTCAGGGGTGTCCCCCTCCCGGCCCAGCCCTGGGGACAGTGGGGGAGGTGTGAGTCCCTTTAACACGCTGCCTCCTGCTCTCCTAGGAGCCCACAGCAAACCCAGCCTCTCAGCCCTGCCCAGCCCTGCGGTGACCTCAGGAGGGACCGTGACCCTCCAGTGTGGCTCACGGCAGAGGTTTAACAGGTTCCTTCTGACTCAGGAAGGAGAAGATGGGCTCTCCTGGACCCTGGACTCACAGCGAGGCCCCAGAGGGCAGGTCCAGGCCCTGTTCCTTGTGGACCCTGTGACCGCTGGCCACAGGTGGACGTTCAGATGCTACAGCTACGACAGGAACAATCCCCAGGTGTGGTCGGAGCCCAGTGACACCCTGGAGCTCCTGGTCTCAGGTGAAGAAGTCCTCTCTTTGACCCAAACATTTTTGAGTCTCCAAACACATTGGTAGGAGCCCCACTTCCAGGGGAGCCCAGGTGTGTGGGTAACTGAGTAGAACACACCAGAGTTAAACACCCCAAATATGAGAGACTAGAAGACCCCCAGGGCAGGACAGGAGAGGCAGGGCTGTGGCAGGAAGCAGGCCCTCAGCCCGGCTCCGCCTCCCCCCAGGGCTGTCCAGGAAGCCCTCCCTCCTCACCCAGCCGGGCCCTGTCCTGGCCCCTGGACACAGCCTGACCCTGCAGTGTCGCTCTGACATCGCCTATGACAGGTTCGCTCTGTCCAAGGAGGGGGAACCTGACCTCCCCCAGCGCCCTGGCCAGCAGCCCCAGGCTGGGCTCTCTCAGGCCCACCTCCCCCGGGGCCCTGCCAGCAGCTCCCACGGGGGCCGCTACAGATGCTACGGTGGACACAGCCTCTCCTCCGAGTGGTCGGCCCCCAGTGAGCCCCTGGACATCCTGGTCACAGGTGAGGAGCCCAGGGCTCAGTCAGGGACCCAGACTCTGCACTGACCCTGCTGGGGAGCCCAGGAGCTGATGGCCAGGGTGAGGGTGGGGTCAGGGAGGGAAAAGAACAGAGACAGGGGAGGGCGGGAGGGGCAGCGTCAGAGGAAACAGAGACAGACAGAGACCGAGGGGCCTCAGACAAGGCCTGGTGAGGCCTCAGCTCAGAACGAGGTGGGGCAGCCCCTCACCCCTCCTTCTCTCCAGGACAGCTGCCTGTCACAGCCTCCCTCTCGGTGCAGCCGGGACCCATGGTGTCCCCAGGAGAGGATGTGGCCCTGCTGTGTGAGTCACGGAGCCTGGTGGACACTTTCCCCCTGTCCAAGGAGGGGCCGCCGATCCCCCACTGCATCTGGGATCAGAGTCCCGAGCTCAGCAGTACCAGGTGGAATTCTCCATGAGAGCTGTGACCTCAGCCCCGGGGGGACCTACGGGTGCTATGGCTCTCGCAGCTCCGCTCCCCACCTGTCCGCTGCAGCCCAGCGACCCCCTGCAGCTCACAGTCTCAGGTGAGGGCTCATGACCCGTCCTCTCTGAGCCCAAAGGGGCTGAGGGGGCTCGGAGAGAGGTCAGCAGGGCCTTCCCAGGCATGGCCACCGCCACGATGTGATTCGAGGACGCCCCAGCGAGAAGAGCTGGAGACCTCAGTGCGGATTACAGGGTGAGCACAGAGGGTCCCAGGAGTCAGCACCCACCCCTCCCATCTCACTCCCAGGATCCTCTGGGGCCCCATCCCCCCCTCTCACGTCCCAGCCCCTCAGTGGGTGAGTCCAGGGCCTCTGTCGCCAGTGTTCTGTGTCCAGGCTGCCTGGGGACCCCCAGCCTTCAGGAAAGGACTCACAGTCCTCATTCCAGTCTGAGCTCAGCTCGTGTCCAGGGATTTGGAAGCCAGTAAGGGAGGCTGGTAGGGATTCCGGGTCCCCAGGGCTCAGAGTCAGGGCTGCATGAGGGCAGCACTAAGACAGAGGGAGATGTTGGGGTCCAGCCTGGGGGAGGAGCAGCAGCTGAAGTGGGAAGCAGAAAGCCCGACCCCCCACCTCCCCATCCCACCCAGGAGGCCCTGAGGGTCAGCCACGCAGCCCCCCAAAGTCAGGAGCACAGGCTGGGCATGGTGAGTGAGGGCTCTGCTGGGAGGGGTCTGGGGGCAGCGGCTGAGCTGTGAGGCCGCTGCAGCCTCCCTGGACATTCGGCCTTGGGCCAGGCCCGCCAGTGTGGGCCTCAGTTTCTTCAGGAGCAAGGGAGAGGCCTGGCCCTGACCTTCAAGTTCCTCCCAGTTCGGACCCTGCTGTGACCCCTGGAGGGGAGGCCTCCCAGGGAAGCCTCCAGGACCCCACGCTGCAGGGTCCCGTCCCCTGGGTTCAGGGCCACGGCAGGGGGTCAGGCCTTCAGCTCAGGGGCTCAGCTCTGCTGGAGAGAACAGGTCTGGAAGGCAGACTCCCGGGGTGTCCCCTTCCCGATGGGTGACCTGGGGAAAGCAATCTCCTCTCTGAGCTTTTTCCTCATGTGTGACGGGCCTGGGTAGAGGCGGCAATGCCTTTTGCAGGGCTGGGAGGGTTGAGGCGATGAAAGTGAAGATGCAGCCGCGGCCAGAGCTCGGAGCGGGTCGGGTCAGGGCCACCATTGCTCATTCAGTCTCGGCTTCACTTCCCTCCCCGACTCCGCCACCCTGCCCAGGACTGGGAAGGCCCCTGAAGGTTCTGACCGGGGCCTCGGTGGCCTCCGTCCTGCTGCTGCTGCTGCTCCTCCTCCTCCTCGTCCTCCGACACTGGCGTCAGGGCGAAAGCAGGAAGGCGGGTGAGTGGGGACAGGTGAGCTGGGCCTCGGGGGGTTGTGGGTCCCCCGTGGTCCAAGCCAGGCTGGGCTCAGGGTAGGGCTAAAACCCAGTCTGAGGGGGCCAGAGAGCCTAGGATCCCCTCAGAGCCCAGCTCGGAGTCCAGAGCAGAGCACCCCGGCCCGGCCTCATCCCCACAGGAGTCTCGGGTGTGCGCTGAGCTTCCCCTCCTCACCCGCACTCACGCCCTGGTCAGTGAGGCCCAAGGCGTCCTTCCTCCCCACGGGGCCTGGCCGTGGTGGTTCCGAGCCTCCCGGTGAGACTCTGTCCATCCCCAGCCCAGAGAGAGGCTGACTTCCCACGGCCTGCGGGGGCCACGGGCCCAGTGCCCCAGCACGGAGGCCTGCAGAACAGGTACTTCCTGCCCGGGGACCCGGACGCCCGCCAGCCACCCCCACGGCCCTGACACCCCTTGTCTCCCCAGCTCCGGCCCAGCCGCCACCGCCCAGGAAGAAAACCTCTGTGAGAGGGAGGGGGCGGGGTGGGGGGTACCCCGAGCTCTCAGCATCCCAGGGGCTGGGAGTCAGACTGAGCCTCCACACGGCCTGGGGACCTCAGCACGGCTCCCTGGATCTGTGTCCCCAGCTGGGCCGGAGCTGGGGCCTGCGGGGCCAAGAGACCCCGGGGACTCTGGGCAGGAGGGGACCCCTTGTTCTGTCCCTGCAGATGCTGCCGTGAACGACTCACTGCCTGAGGACGGGGTGGAGCTGGATGCTCGGGTGAGGCCCTGTCCCCCTGCAGGGCACAGGGACTTCCTGTCACTGCTTTAGTCCAGGGACACACCTGGACTGCCTACAGCTATGTCTTTCCTATTTTGTCTTCCAGGTTAGGTTTCTGTTTTAATATTTAAATCCATTTTCATTTTGGCTTAGTACATGATGAGAGATATGGGTCTAGCTTTAATCTTCTGCATATGGACAGCCAGTTTTCCCAGCACCACTTGTTAAAGATGCTGTCTTTCCTCCAACATATGCTTTTGGCCTCTTTCTTGAAGACCAAATAGCTGAAAGTGTCAGGGGAAGCTTCTGTATTCTCAATTCTGTTCCATTGATCCACATTACCTGCTTTTGCTCCAGTACCATGCTGTTTTTACCACTGTTTTGTAGTATACCTTCAACTCGGATGTTGCTCTGCCTCCTGCTTTGCTCTTGTTGCTCAAAAGTGCTTTTGCTATTCTGAGTCTCTTCTGGTTCAATATGAAATTTTAGGATTGTTTTCTCTAGATCTGTGAAGTATGCTATTGGTAATTTGTTTGGGACTGCAATGAATCTGTGTAACATTTTGACAATATTCATTCTGCCTATCCAGGAGCAGGGGACATCTTTCCATTTCCTGACATTCTCTTCAATCTCCTTTTTCAGAGTACTGTACTTTTCCTTGTAGAGGTCTTTCACTTCCTTGGTTAGGATAATTCCTAGGCATTTCATTCTTCTTGAAGCTACTGTGAATGACATTATTTTCTTAATTTCCTTCTCATCTTGTTTATTGTTGGTGTATACAAATGCTAATGCTTTCTGTGTGTTGATCTTGTATCCTGCTGCATTGCTGAAATTTGTTATGCTTTTGGTGGAATTCTTTGGGTCTTCTATGTAGGAAACAAATAACAATATTTTGAGTTCTTCCTTTCCTATATGTATCCCTTTTCTTTCTTTCTCTTGCCTAATGGCTCTGGCTGATGTTTCAAATACAATATTGAATAAAAGAGGCACTAGAGGACATCTTTTTCTTGTTCCTGAATTTAGGGGAATGCTTTTCGGTTTTTCCCACTTAGTATGATGCTGTCTACTGGTCTGTTATATATAGCTTTTATCATATTCAGGTATGGTCCTTCTATACATGTTTTCTTTAGGGTTTTTATCATGAAGGGTGTTGGATTTTGTCAAAAGCCCTCTCTGCGTCTATATGATCATTTTTAAAATCTTGTTTCTGTTTATGTGATCTATTACATTTATTATGTATTTTGAACCATCCTTGCATCTCTGGGATGAAACCTACTTGATCATGATGTTTGATCTTTTTAATAATGTGCTGCATTCTATCTGCAGACCTTATTGAGGACTTTTCTATGTTCATTAAGATTTGCCTATAGTTTTCTTTTTTTAGTTGAGTCTTTATCTGGCTTAGGGATTAGGGTGATACTGGCTTCCATAAATGATTTTGGGAGCACTCCATCTCTTTCAGTTTCTTTGAAGAGCCTGAGGAGTATTGGTGATATAATATCCTTAAATGTTTTGTAGAACTCAGCAGTGAACCTATCACATCCTGGGCTTTCTTAGTTGGTAGATTCTTTATTTCTGTGTCAATTTCATTGCTTACTAGGTTGTTAAGCATATTTATGTCTTCTTGGGTTAGTTTTGGTAGTTTCTATGTGTCTAAGAATCTGTCCATTTCTTCAAAATTTGCTAATTTGTTGAGACCATAATGCTAAGTGAAATAACTCAAGACACAGGAGGTTAAATATAGTATGATTTCTCCTTTTTTTTTTTTTTTTTTTTTTTTTGATAGGGTCTTGCTATGGGGTTCAGGTCGGGCTTGAACTCATAGCAATCCCTTTACCTCAGCCTCCCAAGTGCTGACATTACAGGCGTGCACCACCACACCCAACCCCTTTTTCATTTCTAACTGACTCATGTAAGTCTTCTCTTGTTAAGTCTGGCTAGGGGTTTATCTATTTTATTTATTCTTTCAAAGAACCAGCTCTGCAATTTGAATTTTTCTTTAAGCCTCAATTTCATTCATTTCTGCTTTTATACTTTATAATTCTCCCACTTAATTTTTGGTTTGGGGCTGATATGTTTCTTGAGTATCTTAAGATTTCTCATACGGTTGTCAGCTTGTTCTGGTTTCCTGATTTCGAATTGACTGCGATGAATTTTCTTAGAACTGCTTTCGCACTGATGTAGGCATGTCAAAGCAATCTTACATTCATGTGCTAAATCCCACTGGGCCATGGCCCTAACCCTCTCAATATGCTGCTAGATTTGATGAGAAAACAGGATCAGTTGAGAACTTTTGCATCTATGCTCACAAGAGCTATTGTTGATTTTTGTTTTTGTTTTAATGTTTGTTTTACAATACTGGGGATTGAACCCAGGACCTTCACACATGGTCAGCCCTTTCTTATTATGAGACAGACCTTGCTAAGTCACTAATTTGGATTAGGCTTGACCTGCAATCCTCCTGCCTCAGCTTCCTCAGCAGCCAGCATTACAGATGTGCGCTACCACATCCAGCATTCTTTTCTTATAGTGTCTTTACCTGGTGTGGCATCTCAGTAATGTTCACCTCATGGGATGCTGGAAGTACCCCTCTTCTACTTTTGGGGACAGTATGAGGGTTGGTGTCCAACTGGTTCTCTTCAATGTTTGGCAGAACTCACCGGGGAAACCACCTACCCTTGGCCTTCTCTTTGTGGAGGTTTGTAATTAATAGTCTTTGTACTTGTTTTGATCTTGTTTTTTCCTGTGTTAGTAGGGGTCCCACAGACACGGGCCGTGACAGCCCAGTGCCCACTTCCTGTGAGTCCTGACCCCTGACCTCCCCAAGCCCTCAACCTTCCCACCCACTGTTCCTGGGCTTCTGCATCTTTGGACCATGGACAAGAGACCTCTGGGAACTCTTCCCCTTTGTGTCAGCCGGCCCAGGTGAGCCCGGCTCCGCTGAGTACTCTGCTCTGGAAAGGACACCACCCCAACCCCACTGCTCCACACGCAGGGACTCCAGGAACCTCAAGTGTGTCCACAGGCAGAGGAACGACCCCTGGCAGGTCAGAGATGTGAATGGCCCAAGAGCTCTGGGACGTCTGCAAGGTGACTGCTTCCAGCAACACTGCCAAAAGCACAGCCATCTCAAAGCGCCTGCCAAGGTGACTCAGCTGGCCACCTTGGGGATGGGACGGCTTCCCATGTGGCCACAGTAAGCTGCAACCCATGGGAGACTGTGCAGGCTTCACAGCCATCTGCCAGGGGACCCAGAGCCTGCCCTGAATTAGAAGCTGGGAATTTATCTGACCTCAGAGCCAGAACTCCTAGGGCAGGTAAGGAACAAGATGCAAAGTGGCTGCAGCTGCTGAGGGAGTTGCTCAACTTCAAGTGTTTCTCTTTTCCCTTTCCTTCCCTCCCTGCCATAGCTTCTCAAAAAAGCAGAGAAGAGGGAAGCTGCCCCTCCTGAGGTTAAGGACAAGTCCAAATGCAAGGCTCCTCAGACGCCCCTCCCCAGAGGGCACACACACCTTTCACACTCATCCAAGCCACTTAAGACACAAAGTGGGGAGCAACCAAATCACCACCCCACAGCAGACCCTGCCACAGCCTGTGCTCCAGGGCCAATGATAGCCCAGCCCCACACCGCAGGCCTGGGACCCACCCTGGCTCCTGGCCCGGTCACAGCGGGGAAGACCTGGACCTGCACTCACCACTTTCCCTGCCCGGAAAAGGCCCTTCCACCCCAGGTGCAAACAGCCGGCTGTGCGGTCCCTGCAGGCCACTGGGCTGCAGCCCACCCGAGACAGCGACACCCTCTGGGCGCTGCTCACAGCCCAAGCCAGCCGGGCCAGCCAGGCCTCTCCTGCCCACCTGGCCGCACCTGGAGGCAGAGCCCAGGTCGGGCCCGGCTTCTTTCCACTGCTCACAGCTGTGTGCTGGGGGCAAGGACGACACTGAATGGAACACAAATTGCACACTGTTCGTTCTGGTTTATTCTGTGGCTGAAAAACTAAACAGTCCTTCAGCCCAGGAGGAAGGGTGGGCTTAATCCTCCTCCTCGTCATCTCCGGCTCCAGCCCCACCCTGGCCCTTCTTGGCGTTCTTCCTCTTCACACGGCCTGGGCGGCCTCCCCCATATGGGGATCGCAGGGAGAAGTCAATGTGCTTCTGGGAGTCCAGGCGCACAATGAAGGACGGGATGTTCACCACCTGCTTGCGGACCCTGAAGGAGGAGAGCAGGGGAGGGAGGCTGGGAGGCCACGCCCCTGCTTTCTAAATTGTTTGATAGGGTCTTGCTACGTGACTAGTGTCCAGGCTGGGCTCAAACTTGAGATCCAGCCTGCCTGAGCCTCCCAGAGTGTTGGGATCACAGGCCTGTGCCAGCTGGGCCCTGCAGTCCTGACCTTTCAGCCTCAGACCTCAAGACAGTAAATTCACCACGTTCACAATGACGAGTGCAAGACAACAATGAAGGTCTGGACTGGGCGTCACGGAGCAGAGCAGACAGCTGAGCCCACCTGGCCAGTGCAGGCCCAGCCCTCACCCTCCAGAGGCATCAAGAGCTGTTACCTGTCCAGCTGCCCGCACGCTTGGCAGAGGCCTTCGCAAGGTGTACGGCTTGAGCCGCAGTGACACTTGCGCTGGGCTACAGGGGGCCAAGGCTGCCCCAGGCTCCCCCACAAGCTGTCTGCGGGGTGCACCTGTCCCTCAAGGTGAGCTCACACCCTCGTCAG